GCCTGTGTGTGCGTACGTGCGTGTGTGTGTGTGTGTGCGTATTACTTGTGTAAGCTGAAAGTTGCGAAAAATGATTGAAATATCTATTGCTCCAAGGGTTCAGGGGATCTCGTAGTCGAGCAGTCTCGACTAGAGCTTTCTTACTTGTTTTTTCAAACATAATACAAATATTTTGTAGCGAATATGGCAATTTATTGATTACCTGTTGAATTGAATTCTTAAAGGTATATGGCTCACGCGCATGCGCTGGGATAAATGTCAAACTTACATACATATATGAGTATTATTGTAGTGACTGTCACTATTCAGTATTTTCTTGCACAGAAACAAAGCAAGTGAATTGTGAGAAAATGCCGTGTATAGGATGTGAAAAGGGTAAAGGAAATATATTAATAATAATAAATGTTAACTTCATATTCAACTACTCTATGCAGCATGTAAATGCACCGCGGACAAGTGCTCCGAGGACTGTAAATGCGTAACGCCCGGTAAATGCTGCTGTAACCCCTCGAAAACCGAGCAGACCTCGACCGGTGGGTGCTGCAAGAAGGGGAAGGGCGCTGGCGAGGACAATGGGCCAAAGGAGTGCTGCAAGACTGCCAAAGACTGAGCCAAGAAGGATGAACGAATAATAATTACAAAAAAGAAACCAACTTGATGTATTTTACTTGCGCTTCTCGCTTTTCATAATAATGTAGCTGACAGCGTCGTATCGTATCTTGAAATATAATCGAAACGTAATTGCTATACATTTGTCACTATAACTAAGTGAACTAAATTAGCGTATCAAATATAATACCATTACCAAATTAGAGTGCTTTTCAGCAGGGAGATGGCAATTATTGAACCTAGTGGTTTCAATTGAAAGAACAAGTTTGGATTCATATGGTGAGTACGTTTAACAAACGAGCCAACAACAAAGTGCATTTTATTTGATTTTTACATATTTCGATGTTTCTACAGCAAAAGGTGCAAGGGCAAGAATAGGATTTAGTACTAGAATTAGAATTACGACTGCTCATTTTATAGACGAGAGACAGAGACAGAACATGTTGGAAATTAAACAAGTTTAAATTCGTTAGCGATTTCTTTATATTACAGCGTTAAAGATTGGGTCTTCAATTATCTTTTCAATATATGTAGGTAAATATATATGTATATAAAAAACAATTTAAAATTTGATTTTCAACAAATACGAGCCACTTACTAAGTATATTATTATATATAATTATATATTACTTCGCGCTGCGCTGAGCCATTAAAGTAGTGTACGTAATATAAAAAACAATATTCCTTTCAGGGCGATTAACTACTAGATTTTTGTTTTTCTATCCATTGTAGGGCTTAAATTTATACAAATCAAACGACGACGACATTTCAAAAATTGATAAACGCGGCTACAAAGGACCTAATTAATTGCGCTTTGATTTACGCTTTTTGCGACTGCTTACGGCGGCTGTGGATGAGCTGGATGAGGCGGAGCAGTGGGTCGTTGGCTGCGGTGGAGTATTCGCTCCACTTATCTTCTCCCAAAGGCTGCTCAAGAGGCTGCCGCCACTGTTGTGATAATTGCTTTTCTTGTTTGACTTGCACGCGACGTTGTTGTTGTTATTGTTGTTGTTAGTCGTTTGTGGCTGACGCGTCCCGGGAGGTGGCTGCGACTTGTGCTGTGCGACTTGGGCGTATTCTCATGACCGCTTCACCTTGCCATTTACAGCACTGGCAGTGGAGCGGCCACCGCTACTACTGCCGCCAATGGCAGCCTCAGTCGCATGCGTGGCCACGTGCTGGATGCCCTTCTCCATGCAGCCTTGATAGATTGGCCGCATGAACTGAAACCGAAACAGAATGCGTTGAATCATTTATGTCTGCGTCTTTTATCAACTCATACTTACATTCTCCCACATAAGCGTTGCAAACTCATCCAGCTTTCCGCCGAAATCGCTCAGCTCGCCGCTATACCTGTGGGTATGGCAAATGGATGGAGAGTTAGTTTGGGAGCTCGCTCACCTGTTGGGCTTTCAGTTGCCGATACCCACCTGATGTATGCCCAGAGCGCCAGCGTCAGCAGCGCCACGCCCATGATTAGATTGCAGAAATTGGCAAACGTGTAGAGGCCAACCAAGCCAAAGATGCCGCTGACTATGTACATGATGACGGCACAGGCAAAGTACACGGCCGGCGTACGCGCTGCCTTGAAGATGTTTTTGCTCTCATTGTGCGCCCGATAGTTCACGAAGACCTCCTCCAGATCTGTGTCCAGCTGTAGGCGAAAGCGCTCCGTGAACTCCTCGCCGCCCATCTTGCGTTTCGTGGCGAACTGGAACAGTGCCTTGTCCTTGATGCGCAAGTGCTCAGTTTCCAGGTGTGCGGTGCTTAGGTAAGGTCGCGTGCCACCACACACTTCCTCCATGAGCTGGTTGTACAGCTCCTTGGCGGCCGCGACGGCAGTCAAATGGTTCGCTTCGGCAGTGGCCACCAGCATGCTCTTCGGCTCGGGCAGCTCGTTGCCCTTGTAGATGCTCATATACGATTGGAAGTACTGAATGAGATCGCGGGCCCTCACGCGCTGTCCACTGATCTCCTTGTACACCAGGTTGTCGGGTGCCAGGAGCATGGGAACCAGTGTTCTGAGACTATTCTTGAATTCGGGCGTTATATCCTTCAGACGGCCGTCGAACTGTGGATTAGTGGCTACATTGAGACCCGGATGTGGCATCAAGAAACATGCGACCTCGGTGAAGCACGCAGAAATGTGGCGACGCAACGACTGCAGCTCCGGATGCTGTTTGTCGGACACCTCGAGGCGACGCTTAAGTATCTTGTCGCCACCCAGTGCGCCGTACTCCGCCTCATACGGGAAGCTCCAGTCTCGCACCAAGAACTGCAAACGCTGGAATGGCTTCTTACCAGTGTCAGCCAGCGCCAGTCGGCCGTATTCGGTGAACAGCTGCAGATGCTGCAGGTCATCCTCCTGTATGTTTTGTGAGAGATTATATATCTGCACCGAGGACAGCATCGTGCTCAGGGCAAACACTGTCGCACAGTCGCGCACGGTGCTCTGGCTGTCGAAGGCACCCTGTGTGTCCAGTAGAATGACGGCGATCTTGTCGCCATTGGGATAATCGTGCAGGAATATGTCAGACCACATTAGTATGCCGGTGGTATCTCGCTCCGATCCGCCGCGCCATGAGAAACCTGATAGCGGTTCCGTCTCATCGCCCAGCCAGTCCGTGACGTCATGTCGCACATACTGCAAAACAGCACCACATTAATTAAGCTGCGAGCAAACTAATTATATATCCACCATACCTTTGAGTACATGTAGCGGAGAAAGAAATCGAGCAGAAAGCTCTTGCCCTTGCGGAACGCACCCGCCACGGAAACAACGCAGACGAAGCGATCTTTGACCTCTTCCCGCATTAGCACCTCGCTGAGCGCATCCTCGTTCAGCACGAATGTGTGCTCCTCGGATGCATTGATCACCTGCACCGCCGAGCCGCCCATTGTAGTCCTCTCCATGTGTTAGCTGTGTGCGTGTGTGGGTGTGTGTGTGTGCGAGCGCGCGTCTGTGCTATGCAATTGAACTATGCTTGGATTTACGATGTTGATTTCAAATACTGCAAAAAGAAACACAATAATATTATTGAAAGATTTAATAATAGTTGCTTTGTACACAGCAAATCGATGATTTATGTACAGATATTTATATATTTATGTCTGCCTGTATGTTTGTTTGTATGTATGTATGTATACCCAACAAAACTTATTCTCTGATCGGATCACAAGCGGTAAGTGAGTTGAACTAACGGTTAATTGCGCAAGTTCTATTCAATTGCGTGTGTTGCTCTGTGTCCGTCTGTCCGTCTGACTGTTCGCCTGCCTGACGCTGCGTCTGTGTGTTCATTTGAATTTTGGCATGGCACTGTATGTGTCAGGCCGCCTGCAATTATGAGACGAGGCCAAAAATAAATTCAACTATGCGCTAGTTTGGCTGGCATAAGGTAAATTAATTTGGTTTTTTTTCTTTTTCTGTTCAGCACGTATTCAGCAAGACATTTTTTTTCTTTTTTTTTTTTTGCTAAGTCGTCACACACAATTCCATTAATATAAATTGCTAATTATTGGTTTCGTAAATGCAGTCATATTGAAATGATTTGCTGACCAAGTCACTCGCCGCTGCTGTTGCTGATGACGTTGACAACTTTTTGTCGCAACGGCAGTGTAAACTTTAATTGAAAACGTAATCAAAACAACGTAATGGCTGCAGGCAACTGTTTCCATATATACCAGCACAGGCATAGTAATAGCAACAATAAATCAGTCATACTTATGCTGGATACGCGATTCTCAACAGAATATAGACAGTGTGAGCGCACATGTATGTCCCTTTTACTTGTTGCAATATTTATCAAATTGAGTTAAAAGGCAAAAGCGACGTTGCGACAGTCGGCGCCACTGTCAACCAACTGAACTGAGGACGGCACACAAGACACCCGCTCGCTGAACAGCGAGCACACTCAGTGAGCTTCACAATGAGAGGAAGAGAGCGCTGTCTTGGTCAATCTCTCTCTCTCCCTCTCATGAGCAGCGGTGCTTGCTCTCTTGTGCTCTCTCTGCCAGCGCAGTCGAATGGGTCAGATCAGCCAGGTGCAGCTGTTAAAATTATTTTGTTTAATTAACAACAACAAACGAAAGGTGCCAAAAGTCGCACGTCCCTTTTGATTTATGATTATGCATTTTTTCTTCTTTTTTTGTATGTCAGAGTTTGGGTTTCGAAATAATTATGTACTGTTGGCAACGCCGTCTCACTATGTCTTTGATGCTGTCAAAGCTGCGCTCAGAACATTGTGCACTGCCAGACAGAGACGGCTATGCGATTTGATCGGACGTTCGATTCCTACCAGCACAGCAGCTGTCTCGTTTCGACTAAGCAGGTGTTTAGCATTGTGCGATGTAAACAACGCGAACAAAAAGTAACAGCAACAGTTGCGACGACAGTGACAGTGACAGTGACGCCAGCGTCGACGCTGGCAGCGTGATTAGTCAACTGGAATGGTTGGTTGCTGAGAGTAACAGCAGAAACAACAACAATGGCCAAAGCAAAGCGAGGCAAACAGCAGCAGCAGCGGCAGCATTGATAGTTGTGTTCTGAGCAGCGCTTAAAATGCAGGAAAAAAATATTGAACGCGCCAGGGGGAAAGCAATATAAGAGAAATATAAATAAGTGCCTAATTTGTTTAAATTAGGCTGCAAAAAGTGTTTAATTAGTTCCAATTATAGTGGCAAACCAGAAGGTCCGCACCAGAAGTACACCTGGCCACACGACGTTCCATCACTCGCCAAGCTGAGTGCGCTGCCGCAACATGCATCGTGGACACCGCCCAAACGCTAGCTGGCAGCAGCAGCTTGCATCTGCGTACCTCGTGGCCATTTGCTTGCTGTCCAACTATGTTTGCGTGTCCGCGCAGGACACGCAGGATTTGCTGACTGCGGAGCCCGTCTACTATTATGTGGGCTGCTATACGGCCCGCACGGACCTGCTCAAGGAGTCGGTGTACGCGAAGATGCCGCAAACATGCATCGAGATCTGTGAGCGCCAGGGACACAGGTACGCGGTGCTGGCTGCCGAGAAGTGCTTTTGTGCCAATCATCTGGAGCCGCAGGAGAAGCAGGACGATCAGCTCTGCTACACCCGATGCCTGGCCAATAAGGCGCAGTACTGCGGCGGCGTGGGCGTACATTCGTACTATTCCACAACGCTGCTGCGGCAGCCAGCACCGCATCATCTGCGCGTGGTCAACAGCACCGAGAACAGCATCAGCCTGGCTTGGGATGCATACGAGGCGAAGAAGCTGCTGCTGGCCGGCACCGCAGAGGCGCTCGCGGCCCAAACTCAGGAAGTGGCCAACATTCTAATCAAGTGCCAGATTGTCCAGACCTACTCAACGCTGCCCGCATTCCTGCAGCCCGAATTCATAGTGCAGAGCACGGAGACCCGCTTTGAACTGACCGATCTTCATCCGGCAACCCTCTACAACATCAGCGTGCGCGCCATTTGCGTGCAACCGCAGCAAGAGGAAAGCGAGTGCGGTCATGGCTCCCTTATGGCCAGCACTGAGGTCGGCACACCCAGTCCAGCTCCTGCACAGCCCAAGGTGCTAAGCCGCACCAAGGACAGCATCACCGTGGAGCTGGCACCCATAAAGAACGACAACGGACCGGTAACGAAGCTACTGATCATTGTGGAGTTTGTTGACGATGCGCTGATCCAGCCATTTGATGCACAACTGCTGGGCAGCTGGCAGCTGGCGCAGCAGACAGGAGTTCCGTACTACATAGCCGCCGAGCTGGACTACGACCGGCCGGAGGATAATCGCACCAGGCACTTTGTAGTGGGCGATGGCAAACGCTACGGGCGCTATCACAATGTGCCCCTGGATCAGATGTCCAATGAGCAGGACAAGTCTGCCCATGTGCATATTAGCTTGGGTGTGGTAAGTAGATACGGGTGATAAGAGCTGAGTATAGATTATATAAATCCTCATCAACAGGTGAGCACACTCCGAAACGTCACCAAGACGCTATACACGCGCAGCAGCCATGCACAGCATGCCAGCTCCTTGGATGACTTCAGCTATGCCACCTTTGAAAAGGGTCAATCGTCGGTGGTCGCCCTGGCCGTTACCTGCGTCGTCTTTGGCACCTGCCTGATTCTCAGTCTCATTACCTACTTTTACTTGCGCTATAAGACCTGCCATGCGCGCGGACTGACCGGACGCAGGCGCAACGCCCACGAAATGACGCAGCAGACGCCCATCATCGAGCGGGAGAACAACGGATATTTGGTGGAGGACGAGCTGCCGCCCACGCTGGAGAGCTTCAAGCAGCAGTTTCAGATGACGATCGAGGGCATGGAGAAATTGCCACGCAATTCTCTTCGACTGAATGCTAATGATGTCATTGCTGATGGCCGCTACGGAGAGATTATCACAGGACGACTCAGCCAGGGTGACGCCGTCAAGGATTGTGCGCTTCACGTGCTGTCGCTGGACGATCTGTCCGGCGTGTCGCAGGCACAGCTGCTGCGCGAGATGCGGCACTTGAAGCAATTGCGCCGCCACGAACTAGTTCTAGATTTCTATGGAATTTCGGCCAGCGCTGACTGGTTCTATCTGATCTTTGAGCTGCAGCGAGTGAGCCTCAAGCGGCGCCTGATCGAGAGCCGCCAGCCAGCACCTGCGCCACGCCTGACAACACTATCGGAGCAACTGGTGCTGCAGTGGATGTACGAGTTGACCAGCGCCATGTCGTATTTGGGCAGCTGCCAGGTGCATCACCGGCAGCTGAGCGGCTACAGCGTTTACGTGTGCGCCGACTCCAAACTCAAGCTGTCCGTCTTTGGACCGCTGCACTACGTGAACAGCAATGGCCAGCAGGTGGATCTTGGCCGGTGGCTGGCGCCCGAGGTGCTGCGACATCAGCACTACACGACCATGTCGGACGTTTGGTCCTTTGCCTGCGTGGCTTGGGAGTGCTGCGCACTGGGCGGCACGCCCTACGCCAACATAGCCAGCAGTCAGCAATTACTGGAGGCAATACGGTCGGGCGTGCGTCCGGCGCAGCCCGCCTATGTCTACGGCGACCTGTTCCAGCTGCTGCTCAACTGCTGGCAGCTAGAGCCCAGCGAGCGCATCGGCTTCGAAGATGTCGCTTTCGGCATACGTCAGCTGATGACATCACCCAGGCACGCACTTTGCTTTGATCGCTCTGCTTCAGATCCGCGGGAGACGCTGCCGTTGTACCTGCCGATGCTTGAGACTATCAACTAGTGTAGCCGGAGCGCAGAAGCAATTATTTATTAATGCAGTAGGGCAAAATAAAAGACAATTGACGAATGATTAGAATAAATATAACAGACCTATTGAAAGCGTTAGTTGATTGCTCCAAAATGCAGTCTGATAAGAATGTGCTAGCCATGAGTTTGAACCAATCTTTATCAAAGATTTACAATATATAAAAACGACCAATAAATGTGCGTTCTTTGTAAAGCGTTATCAATCCATTATCAATAACTGAGCCCGTTAACTTATCAATTAAAATATGAACAAAACTGAGAAAATTGAGGAGAGAGTAGAGAAATTTAAACTTCCTACAGCTTTCAAGTGGTGTGACTCAAGTTCCCTACACTGTTCTGCAAAATCCGAACTGTTTTAGTCGATACGAGTATAATTAACGTTATAAAAATGGGAGAAAAAGTTATGTTAATACAAATCTCTATTTAAGAATTTCTTAAGGATATTGAGAAACGACTTACATCTTTACTAATGGATTTTTTTTACATAAAATTTAATTGTTTTCATATTTCCCACCAACAGTAAAGTTACAAAATCATATTACTTCACTCTAGTCCCGAACTCCCTGTTGTATAGTGTAACAAGTCCTAAGCAAATTGAGAACACAGAAACTGAGAGCCAGGTAGTGAGAGAGAAAGAGCGAACTAGCATAAGGTACTGCGAGTGTTTTGTTGATCTAGGGTGAGCACAAATAAGTATTTGTATATATGTATGTATATAATAAAGCATATGTACATACATACACACATGTGTGTGTAGCGCCATACAAAAATTGACGATTAATCAGTTTAAAGGTCGTGCGACTAGGGGGTATGGCGATACTTAACAAAATGTAATTGTTTAATTATTTAATTGGGGAAAAAATAAACACAGTTTCTAAATAAACACAACATGGCTACAAAAGTACTTATTTTTTAAAATATAATTGAGCTAAAAGACTATATAACTTAATACTAATATGTAATGTGTATATTTTATTTTTTAAAGAACTCTTTCATCTTTGCAATTTAGGCGATTCTGCATTAGTCATGGATGCAACGGAGCAGAGTTCCTGCTTGGAGCAAATTTACTTTAGAGGTGCACGCACACACACACATACCGAGATGCTGTCTAAATACGTGCAATGTGCAAACATCCAATTGGAAATATTGTGCTAATCTGGCAAGCGCCGTTAGGAACCATGGTCTGCGAACAGCTGATAAGCGATCCAATTGAATACAAAATGCTATGAAGAGGCTACCCAAAAGACTAAGCACATTTTATATATGGCTAAAGTTTATTAAACGCGTAATGAAGCGAAACGATCCAAAGTAGCAAATTCAGCAAAACAAAACTAAATATACATATGCATATATATACACACATGTGCAAGTGAGTATATACAAGCTTTTATATACATAAAAAAACAAATGCTTCACCATTTTAGCGCTCAAACGACTTTTGCACTCGTCGACTCGGAGTCAAGGTGAATGACGTTACCAAACAGGGCAAAGAGTCTACGGCTACGGTTATAGCAAGAGCAAAAACAATTAAAATCATTGGCACACATATTCAGATTTCAATATTTGCATATGTATTGGCATATACAAATTATTAATAAATCAAGCTAGGTACCCTGAAATGACGCTGTTTGACCACTAGGAAACGGAATACGAATGGGTAAGTGGACTAAACAATGGGACATATTACTGGAATCACTAGCTATTGGAGCTGGGAACTGTAACAGTTAGGGCACAAAATATTATGTTTTGTAATTTCAATATAGAAGAGATGCACACGCATACATACATACGCGGCGACGACGCAATAAAATTTGTTTTTGTTTTTATTACACACTGAATTCTGCGAGTCGAGTGGGGGTATTTTAAAACTGGTTTCTTTGCGCAGCTCGCATACTATTGACCGCACAGCCGAATACTGTGAACAGTTTGTAAGTTATTTTTATTCACGGATTCAACTAAAATATTACTCACTTTAATAAACAATTCGCCACCACACGCCTGCTGTTGATTGCTTTTTCTACATTTACTTGCTCACCTTTTCTGTTAGCGATGAACGTAAAATCGATACATTGTTCGTTACGATGTTATAGCACATCGATTATCAGACATCGATATTTCCAGAAAGCATCGATACCTGTATTGAGACAAAACTGAAAAGTAATTTATTTTTAAACTTCACATATTTTTATTTTTATTTTAACACTCAAATCTAAGTAATTCCTTTTGATACGATAATAATTTTGAAATTTGCCTTGATTAATTTTTATTTAAATGCATTGCTTAACCCACAATATATGGGGATGTCTTCGGTTGACAAATAAAGACTTTATTACTATTCTTAGAATCACTGGAAGTCAAAAACAATGATCTACATATGTACATATGTATTAATTTCAGTATTGGTTTCTGTTCTGAGAACGTCAATTAATATGTGTTAAGCATTTGCATTGCAAATCGCAAGCTCTTCCGATGGCTGCACTTGTTTTTTACTGAAATTAAATACCCAATCAGCATACAAACAACTGTGTTTTAGGATAATAAATTATATACATACTAAATAAATTATATACAAACTACATTTATATATATATAACATGCTTCAAATTAAAATTAAAATGAGAAATTCACTTTGTATTTATATTGCAAAATTCTAATAATTATATTATATAATTCATTTTAATTTTAATTTGAAGCATGTTACATGATATATGGATGAGATTTAATTAAAAATTGCAAGTTTACCTGCAAGAAGAATAGCGTTTTTAATTTCCAATATTTATATATTAATTATTTCCATCCAAAGTTTAGTTCGGAGAAATTTTTGGAAGGCACATGACTTTGAAGTATCTGTATGATTTTATTCTTATTCGTAAATTTTATGTTCCGCATATTTTTTATGAGGACGATGCGTTGAGATTACCATAGACTTAAAAATAATGCCGAGCAGTGAAATCAAATTGAACATCAAACATGGTGTCATATTGAAACATGTGAAATTCTCGAAATTTCGAGACCTCAGATGCATTCGAATTAGATTTTTTTTGGAACAGTTACGTAACCGTACTCAGCTAATACGCAAACTCGCATTCAAATTATAGATATAACATATAAAATTTCATCAAGCACGGATTTCTGAGTTCGTATGAAATATAAACGCTTTTCTAATAAAAAATATATGTTATTTCAAATATGTGACATATTTATTAAATAGAGGAAATAAAACATACAGAGTAAACAACCAAAAACAAAACAAAGAAAATTATGTAATAGCAAAATAAACCCTTTAGAAAACGTTAGAAAAACAAAAAGCTTATAGTCGACCACTATCAACTTCATGTTACTCGTTAGGTTGATATAATAATCAGTATTTGCCATATTTTCTATATGTATGTATATATGTACATATTTCTATGGTCTATTTTTAGAAGAAGTACGGAAATAGTGCAAAGTCCGGCTGCCCAAATTGTAGAAGAGTGAAAGACTTGCTTGTCGTTAACCTACGGAACTTTCCAGGAGATTACGATTGGTCGATATGAAAATGTGATTTCATGAAGGCAGCATTATAGGCATTATATATAAAAAAAAAATAAATAAAAAGTTGAAATTAATTAATTATATATAATTAATTAATAGATCATATATATTTGTATAGAACTATACATATATCTATAATATTGAAATATACGTATATCGAGAAACAAATAGTTTGAGTAGTGGAAATCCTATAATCTATATATTTTTTCTAAATCTAACTCGATGCATTAAATATCTTATGTAATAGAAGTGCCTGTCATAAGTTACATAAATACAATAATTCCTATTGATTTTTAGAGTAATCTAGGAGCTCCACAGTCGAGTAATACTGGTGTCTGAGCACATGCTGCGCGACTCGCTCAGACAGGAGGCATAGGCCATGGCGTGCGGTATGTAGTGCTGCTCGAACACCCCAGTGAAGAGGTGGGAGTACGGGCCACTGGCGAAGACGGCGACGTCGTCACCGCCGTGCGTCTCGGACTCCAGCGGCACGGCGGTGGGGAACATGAAGTCTTTGTTCTTCATGTTGAGGGAGCGCAGATTCTTGCGCTTCACAGCGCCGCCATCGTCCTTCAGGAAGTTGCTGTTGTAGCCGGGGCCATTGGCGTAGCTCAGCGTGGCATAAGGCAAGTCGTCGGCGGCCAGCTGGCCATCGTTGATGCCGAATATGTCGTTCTTGCGACTGGAGTAGCCCGCCAGCGACATGGTGTGCGAGTGGTCCGAGGTGACCACAATCAGCGTATCATCCACGCTGCTGTGCGTGCGTGCCCAATGCACGGCCTTATCGAACTCTGCCGTCTCGTCGATGGCGCGCAGTGCCAACGTGTTGTGGTGGCCGTGGTCGATGCGTCCGCCTTCCACGAACAGGAAATAGCCTCGACCGGCGCTCTGTCGCTCCAAGATGGCCAGCGCTGCTTGCACCATCTCCTCCAATGTTGGCTGATCCGCGGCATCGGCGTCCAGATGATACGGCATGTGGTAGGGAGCGAAGAGGCCGAGCACTCGCGAAGTCTGGTTGTTCAGCTCCAGCAGCTGGCGACGCGTGTGCACGTAGTGGGCGCTGTTGGTGTGTTGCCGCTGCCATTCCTCGATCAGATTGCGTCCATCCTTGCGCTTACCGAAGACGCCGCTCGGATCTTTCACGTGCTCAGGTAGAAAGTTTTGCCTGCCGCCGCCTAAGATCACGTTCAGATTTCTTCCCACGTCGCCGTTGATCAGCTGTGACGCAATGTCCGTGCAAATTGTGGGATCAGCATTATCCGCCTTGACGTCAGCATCGTTCTCCCAGTCGCGATTGGCGGCATGGGCGTAGACACCTGCGGGCGAGGCATGACTCACGGATGTCGTTGTGATGAGGCCAGTGGCCATGCCCTGTCGCTGTGCCCAGGCCGCGATGGATGCGACACGATTCTCCGGCTGCACTTGGGCCTGACAATCCTTCAACCGGACAGCAGCCGTAACGCCCACGGTGCCATAGTTGGCCTTGACGCCGCCCAGGTAGGCGGTTGCCGTGCACGCCGAGTCGGCCACCTGCATGTTGGCGCAGTAGGTCTTGCTGAGGCCCACATACGGGAACTGCTCGAATGCGAACTGCTTCTCCTCGCCGCCCAGATAGACCCGACCGGCGGTGATGGTTGGTATGGACATGCCGTCTCCTAAGAACAGCATCACGTTCTTGGCCAG